ATTGATTCTTGACTTTTTTTGGGTTTGAATCAATCCTATGTGAATTTCGTAAATACTATTGCTATGTGGGTTCACTTCGGTTTCTCCTAATTCATATACTTCTCTTTTTGCATATTCATGGCTCTTAAGTTCCATTCACAAAAAAAAAAAATAATAATAATAATAATAAATAAATAAATAAATCTACTATGGTCCGTCTGTACCAATAGAATCATCGGTTTGAAAATTTAAGCGGTTGAAAAAATCTATTTGTTTCTACTTATATCGTCTACACATCCACTTTTGTGTTTGCCGTTTTAGTATGTTAAGCATGTCAAACTGTTTGGTAAATAGAATGTGATGGAATTATAAACTTGTATGAATGTGCAATAATTGCACTTAACCTACCTGTCCTACCCTCTCTCATGCATCCTCAATTCCATCTAAAAAGCCTTTCACACCTCTATTTAAGTACTCTCTCTCCCACCCTTCATTCTTCTTCTCTAAAGACGTCCCAAAATGAACTCTGCAACCACTTCTATCTTATTAGCTTTGTTACTCATTTCACCAACTCTCTCTTCTGCCATACCACCCCCCAGACAAACCAGCAAAAAACCAACCTATGACCACCCCAGCAGCACCAACAGCAAGAAGGGAGGTGGTGGTGGAAACAATGATGATGAAATAGGAGGCTTCTTTGCGCCCGGAGACGGGTTCGAGATACCAGGGTTTGGGGCTGACTGGGGCAAAGGAGTCATAGGTGGTGGCTATGGAGTTGGGTATGGAGGTCCTGGTGGAGGGTACTCTGAAGGAGGGACCATAAGGCCTACTGTAGTGTGCCAAGAAAAGGGTCCATGTTACAAGAAAAAGCTGAGATGCCCTGCTAAGTGTTTTACTTCATTCAGCGGGTCTGGGAAGGGCTCCGGCTATGGTGGAGGCGCTGGTGGCTGCACCATGGACTGCACGAAGACATGTACTGCATATTGTTAAGCTGAACTGATGAGCAAGCAAGCAATAATAAATCTACCTATAAATGGTTTTAATATAACTGCTATTTTGCATGTGTGCCAGTTATATAATTTGTTGCTTTATTTGGCTAAAACTACTGAACTTATATATAGCTCAGTTCTGCTGCTACATAAATGACATGCTATGTTTATGTGGGACCTCCATAAATTCATGTAATTTATCAAAAATGAATTGTAAGAAAACTTTCTGGAGACTTCAGGTGTCAAACAATGAATTTACGGGCATAAAGATCTATGTATTCAATATAATAAAAATCAGCAGTTATGTCTCCTATCTAGTTTCTAGCCCTCACTCGGAAGCTTTTCATCACTGTAAATATGGTTGTACAAAAAAAAATAAAAAAATACAAATGGACACACAACATATACCAGGCTTTACAAGTGCTACTCTAATTTTCTACCTGCACCTCTTAATGGTCTGCAGAACAGTAATATGTATTCGCCGGAACTAGCTTAGATTGCAACTCTCATGGCTCCCCAAGCAGCTTTGTGTTTCATCTCTGCAGCTTTATCACAGCATCGGAAATACACGATCTCTTGCTCGGGTGGCGGTATAATCTCAGAGATAATTTGAGTTTAGAAAGAGGACCAGGAAAAGTAAGCGAAAGAATAAGTGACACCAAAGTTAGACCTGAATAACCCAGACGCTGAGCACAGGTAGAAAACCTGAAAAGAAAAACAGCACAAAAGCACAATCCAACAAGAACTAAACTTGATGTACAGCTCGAGCAAGAATCTGAACATGACCAAAAAGGAAAATCCAACAAGAACTAGAC